CGATCATGAAAGGGGTCAGGAACCCGGGGGGGTACTCCCTTATAAAAGCCATATGGGTATGTGCCGCCCCAAAGGGTAGGGTTTTTGGGCCTTTTTGGTTTGAAAACACTTTGCTCATGTTAGTCCGCTTTCCGTTTCTCTCAGTTTTACCTTTCTAAAGCTGTTTTTGTATACATAATCCGTAGTCCGCGTTTTATACCTAGTCCATGATTTACGCTCAATCCGGAGTCCTCGTTTTATACCTAGTCCATGTTTTAGACCCAGTCCGCAGTCCGCAGTCCGCAGTCCGTAGTTTATACTGACCGGTTTCTGTACCTGCAATGTAGTTCGGAGGTCTTATGACGGGGTCAGCACTCGTTAACATCCGTCGAAAGGCCCTCTTATCTTCGGTCGGATTTCGTAAACGTATGACGTCACGCTCGCTTCGTGGTTCCTCCTGTGACTCATGTATTGAGCCTTGCTTCGATCTTCTGATGATCTGATGTTTGTTTCGAGGTCTTTTCTTGCTTTTTCGATCATCCCTCGACTGATTCAACCAAGAAGATGCCACTGCATCTGTTTGGAGAGGATGTTTTAATATTTCGCCTCGATCAAGCCTCTTAGCGCATCAACAAGGTCCTTTCAGCGGATGTTACTGAGTAACATCCCTTGAATGGCCCCGGATTGAATGGCATTCATGAAGAATTACACGAACAAGAAAATAAAACTCAAATGAACCGCTGCCCAATTTAACAACTTTCTCAAATATTGGCGGGAATATAAAAAATAGAGAATCATCCACGTGTGTATTAAATGTCTGTCTCTATCGAATAATAATGAATGCTTGCAGGAACAACAACAACAACCTTATTTCTACCCAGCTATACCCTACATTGATTTACACGATACAAAAAAAAAAACAGATAAATATATAGAGAGAGTACAGGCTGCCTATAATAACCATTGTGGGCTAAAAAGATAGCGCAGCCTCACTTAGGTTATTAATAAATGATTATATTAAGGGGTCAGGTACCGCACACCACACACAGCTACACAAAACACCCACACAAAAAAAAACGAGTAGAAAAAGAAAGACAGCAAAAGAAAGCTACCAGTATTAAACAACGGAAAGCCATTCTTGCACTAAGTTGTCTGATAATTTATATTCTGTTTCATCCGCTGAAGAAGCAGAAAGCTAATCCAAGATTTTGAGGCTCGAAATACCGTAAAATTTTCCCTCTACAAGGACTACAAGGCAAGCAAAGGCTTTGGAGACACAGGTGAGTAGTAGGTATATTATTATACAGTGGCAGATCCAGACCTTCAGATAGGGGGAGGGGGGGTGGGGCGCCCGGTCACCCAGACCCTGAGATAATAAAGGGGGGTGGGGTGGGCGGTCTTCAAAAAAATTTTTTCGGCCCTTTGGGCGCAGCCTCAGTTTGGTCTAAAAATATGAGGGGGGCCCAGGCTTCCCAGGCTCCTCCCCTAGATCTGCCACTGTTATATACAAAGTGGGCCGTTGACCATAGCCCTACTCCAATTTCCCAAAAATGTCATTTGCTTAGTTTGTTGGCACAAGCAAACCTCTTTGAGATCTTAACAGTGTCCATAGAATCCGCAATAAACAGTTGGCCGGGTATGCATAAGTAGGCAGTTGTTCAAACAAAGGCTAAAACAATCCTGCTTCATGGCGCTTCTTGAGTTGTCGCAGGGTAGAAAACAATCATGCGCCCTGGATGCTACAACTGGTGTTCAATAAAATCATAACATTTCCACTTGACCAATTTTGGGTTGAGAAACATGGCTGCAGAAGTGGTAGGGAAGGGGGGTGGGGGCAAGCCCCCCCTGTTATTTACATTAAAGGCACTTCCCTTTAAAAAAAATGCTGTGACAATGCATGGCTGAGTTTGTCTGCATGGTAAGCATATTTTGCATAGTATTGCTACAATTTGCAATAGCAATGACTATAATATTTTACAGTGAAACCTCTATTAAGCAGACCCCCAATTAAGCGGACACCCTCTCTTAAGCGGACACTAAGCCACTAAAATGAGTTGTATTTGGCTAATTTCTATTGTTAAAAACCTCTATTAAGCAGACACCGGACTGAATTGACAATAGTAGTATTGGATTACGTCCTTGAAATACGTACTTAAGGTCAGTTAATGCTTTTGCATTAACAAACAAATTGAAGTTGGTAATGAAAGGTAATGAATTTGAACTCTAGATAGCTTCTTTAACAACTTGCAACTTTTTCACAGTAGAGAGTAACCGTTAAATGTTGATCGTTAACAAACATTGTGCAATTTTTAAAACCTCTATTAAGCAGACACCCTCTATTAAGCGGACACTTAGGAAGGTCCCGAAGGTGCCCACTTAATAGAGGTTTCACTGTAATATATTGATACCATAATAATGTAATAGTAATGATTATAATTATTATAATTTACATTGTTAGACAAAGAAATATTTTTAAACTTTCAGTATTGTGAACATCACTCATGTTCTTAAACTACTGTTGTAAATGGTAGCATTAACATGTATGACATTTAGTTTGCACAGACCTTGAGCAGGGGAAAAAGTCCCAATTTCCATCAGGTATTGTACAGAACCTCTATATCTGTTAACCAACACCTCCTATAAGCTTACATGCACCTCTTACTAACAGACACTAAATATCTGGGTTCACAGCAATTAATTCCTATGTTAAAAATCTGCATTAATCCAAACTATTGTAAGTAAAGTCATCTTTTCTTGGTAACAAACATCCATATAGATTGGTCAAATCAGACCTAAAATTCTTTACAGAATAGTTGCCCACATGATAGATCATAGCTATAGCAAATACTCCTCTCTCTATGGCAATGGTCGATCTAGGGGAGGTGCCCCCCCTTATTTTTAGACCAAACTGGTCTAAAAATCTCAGGGTCTGGATGACCCCCCCCCCCCCCCCCCTTGATCTGAAGGTCTGGATCTGCCACTGTACGGGGCACTTCGGTTGAACAGATGCCTTTGACAAGCAGCATGATTCCGGAGTAATTTGGTCAACACTTTGATACTGAATAAGAAAACAAATTTACATATAGAGGGAGAAAGGAGGATCGAGAGTGCACCAAAAATCGATCCACCAGTCAAATCACACAGTCAGTAATTAATGCACAAGAAAACTCAAGGGAAGTTTAATGATGATCAAACAAGGAAAAACAATCTTACTGTTGAATAATATTACTTTTCCATGTTTGTTTTTGCTTCATGAAATTAAATAGCATCTGCTCTACTTGATCGAATAACAGAGCATTTTTTTTTTTTTCTAGAATGACATGCCTTTACCGTGAAAGAAGATGGAGGAACAATTACAGCAGAAGAGGCTTTAAGGTACACTCATAAACTAATATTCAAGCAAGACCCCAAAGAAAACTGGGAGTGGGGATTATTTACAGAGAGGGAAGGGCTAATGCAGATAGGAAGATACCATTTCCACATTCTTTGGACCCTCCCCTTTCAGTTTTTACAGGACATATTTTTGACGAAACAACAAGGAGCCAAGTCAAAACTCTGAGGGGTTACTTAAGTTGAATTAAAAATATTGATTCCATCATTCATTCATTGATGTACTGTTAGAGAAACTTATCAAAAAAATTCTTGAACAAACCCATTGACCCGATAGGCAACCTTTCTAACTTGCAGATATCATGTAGATGAAGACTTCATAGTATCAATGGCTTCGAACCAAAACGCACAGTTAAAGCACATTTTCATTTGCCACCTTAATTACATGTAATTATAAAGCATAAAATAAGTAAGCCTAAATAAATAAATAAATAAATAAATAAATCTGACAAAATTTATGTAAACATGGCTTCAGTGAGTGTCTACAGGTCCTATGCTAAGTGTGTCCTTGATACCAAGATTTTGATCCTCCCCACCCAGGACAATGGGTGACTGTCTGTGCCTCCCACTGAGCTCTGCAATTATCAACAACAACAACAAAAAAACTTTATTAATAAAAAAATATGCTTAAAGAAGTATTGCCCACAGCTAGCAAGGCTATTCGATGCGGGAAAATGCGGGCAAAATATAAAAATAGAGACTAAGGCTATTAACATTATCATTCTCAGCAGAGGCCTGATTCAGCTCAGTGGCTGGGGCAAATTAAGAACAAGGTACTTGCCAGTCAAAGCCTCTAGTGAACACTGCTGCTTACTGAAGGGGTTGTGTCAAAATAGCTCCCTCCCTACGCCACTAATTTTGGCCCCCAGGCCTGATCCACCCACCCACTGTTAGAGCAGTCCCTCGGCTATTCAGCTAAACCGACCAAGATGGCAAGCCCCCTACCATTTTGGACACTGGACTGACCTGGTGACGGGCTGTGCCCAGTGCCAGGCGAAAACCTAGTGACCAGAAATCAGACAGAAATATTATTAAATAATATTAATTATTATTACAGCCTCATATTTTGTGCATTCTCTTGACCTTATATGGTGAAATGACATAATACTGGAATAATAAATAACAATCTTGATCCTTCTCCTCAAGTGTGAAATATAAGTATGGCGATTTTTACACTGTACATGTATTCAATAAGGAAGTGATAATGTATAATTCTCACCTAGATACACAGCCTGGTGATCTGGGGCCATTCAAAGGATGTTATTCAGTAACATCCACTGAAAGGTCCTTTTCCCCGCGGAGTAAGAAGAGGCTTGAAACATCAAAACATCCTTTAAACGGAGCCAGTGGCATCTTCTTGTTTGAATTGATTGGAATCAATCGAGGAATGATCGAAAAAGTGGGACAAAATCTCTCACCAAAAATCAAACAAGTCGGATACAGACGATCGAAGTGCAGATGAATCAGAAATGAAACCTCGAGGCGAGCGTGACGCCATACGTTTACGAAATCCGACCGAAGATAAGAGGGCCTTTCGACGGATGTTAACGAGTGCTGACCTTATGACGGGCGCTGCGGGCGCTTAAATGGAGTCTTGAACGTGATCGCCCGCTGATCTTAAGGCCTGAGGACTGTTGGAGCGAGAAAATGGCGACCCTATTAAATATATTGAAGTTCTAGACCACTGTTCAGATGCTCCGGAAACAATGGGGACATTTTTCCTTCCCACGTAAGTCAGTGATTATGTACAGCTCGTCAATAATCGAGGAATTGTATAACAAATCTTTATCGTAGGCCGACTGGTATCGATGAAGCGAATACTATATTCTTGAACCGCTTTAGTACAATAGATGGCCACTCGCTACGAAACTAATATTTAAAAGTGATGTTAAAAGAGATGCTTAACATTGTTCATTTGCTCGATTGAACTGCAGTATTACAAGGATACTGTACAATCATAACATTTTGGTTTTTGAAGTTATAACTGATATATGAAAATCATGTATGTGAACTGCGGAGTGAAGAGTCATATGAATGAAGATCATTGCAGTTATATACGCAACTTTTGTAGTTGCGAAAAGAAAGCTGGAAAAAAAACAAAAACAAAAACAAAAAAAAAGAAAGTGGCTTCTACGGGATTCGAACCCTCGACCGTTGCGATACCGGTGCAGCGCTCTACCAATTTAAGCTAACAAGTCAACTGGGAGCAGGTCGTTGAATTGGTTGAATTGGTTGAACCAATTCAACAACCTGCTGCGTAGTTACTAAAACCCGGAACGACCCACAATGACCCACAACGACCCACAACGACCCACAACGATCCACAACGATCCACAACGACCCACAACGACCCACAACGATCCCACAACGATCCACAACGATCATCAAAGAATACTGATTAACTTTTGAATTTTTTTCAAAAATTGAAAAGCATACTGAATAGCAAACATAACGACTCATAGGACAAAATAAATGAGCAAATGTAGCTTTTCACGAGAAAGAATCTCCATTCAGAGACACATTTGTAAGTACGATCGATGTCTCTTCGGCCGGCCATCGAATAAAGATTTGTATAAGTCACATGAAAAGTTTCATCAGCTTTGTTCTCCGTAAACATCCATCTACATTCGTGCCGCGACGCGCTATACTTTCTTGCTGATTTCTGCGCTAACGAAGCAAACTGGGATTGCAGTGTTATGACAATGACCATCAAGACGACAGAGATCTCATGTCTATATCTACCACGAGTTCCATTGTACGTAATTGTTTCCCTTTACAGGCAGAGACCTCGTGTATATACCCACCACGAGTCCCCTGTACGTAATTGAATGGTACGTTGACGTTATTTAATAGTGCATTGAATAATGAAACGTGTTTTACGTAGTTGGGCACTCGTGGTGGGTATATACATGAGACCTTTTCCATCAAGACTGATGTCAGGCTCTCTACATTTCATAACACGGAATAAAAGCATAGAACACCACATAGTAAGCCTTTAATGTACTCCATGAATTAACATATTCAAACATGATCTTACTGAATTAATAAAGATATTCCACCTCTGAAAATCGATAGAAAACGATGCACAATTCTGAATGTGTTTCATTAGCGAAGAGAAAAAGCTTAATGATACTACGAAAACAGGTGAAGTTCACGGACTTCGACTCTGAACATTAAGGCACAAGTGTCTCTTCCGGTTTACAACAGCAGCATAAAACATATGTCTGAATGCATTTCAAACGGCACCAGATACCATCATCAACATTTAATAAGGCACAAGTGTCTCTTCTGGCCGGTTGACATCAATATCAATCAATACTAACAACTTGAAAACGATAACCTAACATGTCTCTAAATGTAGTTCATTATGGAATAGAAAAAGCTTAATGTTATTACCAGAAAAGGTGAAGTTCACTGACTTCGACTCTGAACATTAAGGCACAAGTTTCTCTTCTGGTTGACATCAATATCAAATCAGTACTAACAACTTGAAAACTATCACCTAACATGTCTCTAAATGTAGTTCATTATGGAATAGAAAAAGCTTAATGTTATTACCAGAAAAGGTGAAGTTCACTGACTTCGACTCTGAACATTAAGGCACAAGTGTCTCTTCTGGTTGACATCAATATCAAATCAGTACTAACAACTTGAAAACTATAACCTAACATGTCTCTAAATGTAGTTCATTATCGAAGAGAAAAACTTTAATGTTATTACCAGAAAAGGTGAAGTTCACTGACTTCGACTCTGAACATTAAGGCACAAGTGTCTCTTCTGGTTGACATCAATATCAAATCAGTACTAACAACTTGAAAACGATAACCTAACATGTCTCTAAATGTAGTTCATTATCGAAGAGAAAAAGCTTAATGTTACTTCTAAAACAGGTGAAGTTCACGGACTTCGACTCTGAACATTAAGGCACAAGTGTCTCTTCCGGTTTCCAACAACAGCATAAAACATATGTCTGAATGCATTTCAAACGGCACCAGATACCATCATTGTTCTTCGTCATATTCTACTTTTAACCCTTTTGCTTCCAGGTTCTCGCGGCTGCCGTCAGGTAAGAACTTTAGTGTTTTACTTGGCACGGTTACAGCAGAAAATTTAAAGTTCTGATCAAATTCTTTAAGGCACTTTGTTAGGAAATGGAGATACACATTCCCCGTATACTTCACAAGCTTTCCTGACTTGTCCGTTCGCTCACGTACTCCAACCGTCTTCACCAAGACAATATCAGCCTGCTGAAATGCGACTCTACATTGTTCACACCTCTGCACACTTTTTGGACAACGTTTGTTGTCCAGTCGGCTAACAAGTTCGAACTGTTTCCCAGAAATTCTGTCTGGATCCAGTAGTTCCAGGTTCCGAGAGTCCTTCTTCGGTTGCACCTGAGAAATGAAACAAATAAAGGAAAAGAAAATACATTGACAAAAATGGTGAGATATTCGATGATACGTGACTCAGTAGCATTATTAAGATTGTGTGTTCACCGACAGTATTTTGTGATTAATTATAGGGAATGTATTCAGGGAAGGTCACCAAAACCATATTTTCAATTAAGGGATAATGTACTTTTTAATAAGTTATGTTTGTACAACAAAATATCGTACATGCTTCACTGCATCACGTTGGATTTTTCTCCAGTTTTAACAACCTGTATAAATAAGGTAACTTATCACAGAATCACACTTTAACTTATCTTTGAATACCCCGACATTTGTTTCGCCTATGTTTTGCTCTTTGTACCTACTTACTTTCCATTCAGCTTCTTTGCCGACTTTAGAAATGACCAGCGGTGAAACAGCTACCTTCTTGCAAGCTGCTGGTGTTGTGCGCTCGCTAAATAGTTCTGGTTCCGGTAACTGCGCTCGTCTTTTCTTGGAAGGTGGAGTTGCCTTCAGACCAGCAGACTTCGGCTTGGCGTACGTATCATATGAGCATGCAACAAACCCTCTGAACGCTTCCAGATGTTGTGCCTGCCTTGCCGGGCCCCATCTGTTCCACTTTACGGCATCGACTTGAAAATGGTCATAGCCGGGAGCAAGACGGTACTTCCCGAGGCCTTGTATTGCCCTCTCTTCTTCCAAGTAAAACTCCTCTGCCCATGTGAACAACTGGGCAGTAACGGCTGCGATCTCTTTGGGGACGTCCTCTTCGGCCATTCTCTTCTTCTGAAGCTTGTGTTTTAATTCGAGGCCATTCGTGTAAAATCTGCCTTCAATGCCGAGATTTTCTCTTGCAGAAAGAACGAGGCAATCTTTGAACAGCTTAGATCTGTTGCTTTTGAAACAATGGTGGAAACCTGGGGCTATTTCTTCCCATACCGGCTTCAAGCTTTCCAGTTTAGCATCAAAATCGCATTCGTCCTCTGCGTCTGCTAAACCATTCTATAAAAGAACTGCATCTTGCGTCCCGTATATATCAGACATCGCCCTTGACTGGGAACGCTGGGTACACCCAAGAGTTTTGAGCTTGTGGACATCACGCTCTTGCATATGTTGAGTGCACCAGAGCCTTTTAGCTTCGTTGAAAACGTCACATAGTCCTTGAGATAGGGCTTTATCTAAGTCATGGCCGATCTTTTTAATTTTGAGCAGCTCTGGCTTCTTAATGACAATCTCGCCTGCAAATCTTCGATAGCATTCTCTGGTCTTATGAAAATGCCAAAAGCTTGGCCCAGGGAACTCTGGATTTTTCCCCTTTAAATCGATTAGGGCTTCGTTTGTGTACGTCGTGTCAGTGAGCCAGAGCCCTTCGACAAGTTCAAATGTAGTGTCTACTCGGAGTACCGAATTCCCATTTACGCAGAAGCGGTACAAGTCATTGATCATGTTTGAGAGACTGTTGAAAGCAACATAACTTTCTTTCGTCAATGTTACACTTTGGAGGAAAGGAACCGATTGTAGGCAGGAAATCATCTCCTCTGCTTCACTTTTGAACTGTTTCTTGCTACTGGAACTAGTCGAAGTTTCTTTCTTTGATAACAGCTTTCTGTTGTCAATTAACTTGGGACCAGGTATAGCTTCACTAACAGTACTAGCTCCAGCTCTGGCAATGGAGTTATAAACTTGATCCGTTGATAACCCCTTAGCGATCAGATTATCGACCTTTGAGAAAAGACTGGGATCTTTCCTGTAGTATTGGCCACTGGTTGGTTTGGTAGCATTCCCGTGCCGAGGAAGGTCGAAGCGTTGATCCGCCCCATCTGCCCATTTGTACGTGACAACATAAAAGGGCCTTGGTTCTTTTTCAGCATAACCTTTAATTGTGGTGATAGCTCGGGAGAACTTAGGATTGCTCTTACTTGTGTGGTACTCCCGTTTCAACTCATATATTTCGTTTGCTGGAACGATTTCTTTCCTGTAACCTTTAGAGTCTCGTATATTGACATACCATACGCCATTTCCATCTTTGTGGGATGTGCGCGACCCCTCCTCATTGTACATATAGAACTTTGTAACACTGCCTTTGGAAATATATGCTCCATTGTCATCAGCTTTGGCGGATGATATTGGAATTTCTCTCATATCCAGAGTGAACATTTTATTTTCGCGTATTCCAGAGGGTTTCTGTTTTAAGTTGAAATCTTCCGGATTTTGTAGAAGGATGTTGATCAGACTTTGGTGATCACCTTCCACACTATTTTCATTGTTCATTGTCGGCTTTGTTTCTTCTCTCTCGCTATGTAAAGATAGACAATAAATTCTATTTCAAAAACAGGTTTGATTATACCTTTTCTCAGTGGCACCCAACGAGCAGTTAGAGCCAAGAGCCTACAAGAAACATTTCTAGGCTCCTTGTAATGTTTAAAGACTATCTAAAGAGATGTTTTTATCACATGCACGAATTTGATCTGTTCGGATATCTTAGCTAAAACATTAAGTGTTCGAAAATTTTAGGGAATGATATCTTTTTTTCAGAAATTGCTAGCTGCACGGCACATTCTAGAAACTTCCCAAACGAATCATTTTCTCTTCCGAAATTGCTAGGTGTCCTTTTTGAGACCCAAAAATTGCAAATATATCATTTCCGAAAACGTAAGGGACCACTTTTGCCTTGTTGCGAGTGTTTTAGGTGATGTTTTAGGGGCTGAAAATCTATTCAGATTCCCGATGCGAAAATGCGAGGGCCTGTGTGTTAGATTATTCAAAAAGTCTAGCTCACCTTGCTTACAAACTGATTTTTACCGAAAATAATCGCTGGGTGCCCCTGCTTTTATCTAACAACAAAAAGATGTCCGATTTGATTATTACAAAACTTGAGGATTTCCCTTTAAATCTTGCGCTTCTCAATCAGCGCTTCTGCACATTTACATGTTGCTGCCAAATTGTAACTTTGCCCGGGGCACAGAATGTTGATCGTTAAATCAGTTATATCGTTAAATTGACAATCGTAAAGTCGGCGTTCCATTGTAAATGAATACTGACGGGAAGCGATAGACCAGTTGCCATAATAATTATAGTCACTTACCGAGAACAAGATGGGACTACGACAGGAAGCTGTGGCTTACTATCAGAATCTTTACAATCCTAAGGTAAGATATAACAGAATAACTGCTTTTCAAAAAGATCTTTCTTTTTCACCAAGTACTGAGTATTGAAAAGGTCCGAGATAGGACAAGCAAGGTTCTATCTAGGGTATTTGAGGGGTAAAAGCTTTCCCCCCTCCCAAAAAAAATGCCCAGCTTCCCCCCAAAAAATATCGGAGCTAAGTGTAACATTGTCAGAACGTGATCACGACTAAAAAATGAAATAAAATATCACTGTAACATTTCTCAAAATTGGGTCTCAAAATGCACCAGATTGCATCTCATCTCTTATCAACATACGATGGTTTGAATATTGGAAGCTAGAATTCTACGATTTCATAATGTTTACAAAAAATACCAGACTTCCGGTCATTTAATGTTTTTAACACCTTGACCGGTTACCGCCCATATAGACACAGCGCATAACTCGAGTGAGCAAAGCAAAATAGCAACCATATTTTGTTTGGTATAAACAGTTGTTGATGGTCCTCCAAAGATTTCATGACGCCAGCACGAGCGACCGCGAGAAAAAACCTCTGGTACAGAGCGGTTTCATTCACAACAAGCATCTCTCACTGCGATCAAATGGACCAATACGTGAAGACATGACAGATCTGGTGTCAATTACATTCGGTGGAAAAATGACAGATCTGGTGAACGCAAATGCTACAAAAATAAAATGACCTAAAACCAAGTACAACAACCTACAACCAGCTTGAGAATACTATTTTTATGATGTTGAGGCATTTTAGTGAAAATTTTTGCTCACCCGTTAGGGACTTTGATAAATGGACATGCCACCGGAAATGTTGTCTTTTACTTCCCGGGCTCCCATCAAAAGCAAAACCAATACCCCTGAAAAATAAGTCATTGTCTGCGACATGGGCCGGTCAAAAACTAAAGAATTGCTAAAGTAGCCCCGTCAGGCTTGAAGTTTGTGTTCTCACGTGACTCATAAGCCCAGCAAATTCGTAACACAATGGCTGACATGACCAGGAAAAAACAAGAACAAAATGGTTTACAAAGGAGCAGTGCCAACATTCCTGAGGTTTTTCGAGTAATACACAGACTGCGTTTTAATTTCGAGGTCAGTGTTTTCGAGGTCTGCTATTCTGAGGTCTGTCTGAGGTCAAAGGAACCCAGGAAGATTGATAAGGTTGCGTAATATAACCTTTGGACCTTTTTTTTAAAATACGTCTTGGGAGAATTTCCCTACAAATAAAGTCTTACCTCGAAAACGGCAGGGCTTTCCTCCAGCTTTAGTGGCCTTGATGACGATAAATACTTTGGAAGATCTACAAACAATATGGAAATACGATAAAGGGAAAGTATGTTCACAAGTATGCGAGATTCATGCATCCACCGGGTTAGGCCATACGTATGTTGAACTGAACTGAGATTTTACTGAGCAATACCTATACAAATCTATATCTATACACATCTATGACCTATTTTTATTCTAAGGATCGCTTTCGAACAGTCTCTATGCTTTCTCATTGCGAGCCACAAACAAACTGAAAAAACAAACCGTATCAACGGTCTGTACACGTTTTGCAAAGTATGAACGTTGCCAGTTGGCTTTGTTAGCTTCATTGGTAGAGCGCTGTACCAGTATCGCAGAGGTCTAGTGTTCGAATCCCGTACAACCTTGAATTGTCTTCAGGCGTTCTTTTCGGAACTGCAAAAGTTGCGTATATAACTGCGATGATCTTCATTTATATAATTTTCATTGGTTTTTAGGAACAGTGTCTTTTTTCCTAGTTTAACGACCCAAAGTTTGTTCCCTTTTACGGTTGCTCGACACCAATGGCAATTTATAAAGTGAACACAAGCTCAATAGAGAGTTTCAAGAATAGACTTGTCCTGTTGGACGGAAGTAGTCCTTTCGTGACTTCGTCGCTCGATCGGCCGGTTGGCGATCCGTTTCGCTCGCTGGCTTAGCGAGCTGCGCTCAATTTACAGCTTTTGTGCTGTGAAGACTGTGAACTTCTTGCCTGTTTAATCATTCCTTTGTATTTGTTGTGTTGCATTGTGTTGTGCCTTAAGAGGAAAAAAAGAATCTACGCGAATGTCGAAATATCTAGCTAGTATTGAAGAGCGGGCCAACAAGCCGTCCTGTAACGTGATTTCGCATTCCAAATTAATTACTTGCGAAGATTCGTTTCCCGATGCCTATCCGATTCTGTGTGGAAAGCAAAGCTTGAAGTTTTAATGAACTGTTGCACTTCTCTTGGAGAACGTTGTGGACGGTCGTCACACTCCTGTGGGTCTTGCTTGCTTATGCGTGTAATATGAGCTCAGTGTCATGTAATCAAGAGTAAAAATCGAAACTCAATAAATAAGGTCAATAAAGTCAATTTTTTCCAAGCTAGTTCTTTCATAAATGATAATTAGCACAAATTTAGGCTATCTAGGCACTTAAATAGATTGTTATTTTCTGAAGAAAAAGTACATTGTAGCTAAGAGCATTTAGTGGTATTCAGCTTACACGATGTATTCCGTGCATAAAATCTGCATACCATTACATTGCAGTTGGAGTGATAAGGCACCTGTATCTTCAAAAGAGGATCCCGGGTGGTGAATTATCTTATATGTTAAATTGCACACAATATTTTCCATAGATTTTAGAAAATAAGAACCTGTTTCAAATTTTAGACTTAACATGTTTTGTACAAAGGGGGACTAAGTGGCATATTTTAGCCTAACAGGTCCTTAAAAACCTGCTTCTTAGTCACGGCTTTTTACTGTATTTTAAAGCGTGAAAGGAGGAAATGATATGTAGTCTTGCCAAGACCCAGGTCTGTGCAGTTTTTGTGCGAAAGATATTCGGAGAAAAGATTTAACAAAGTTTATCGTGCTTTGTTGTCATTTAGTTTTCCATGAAAGCAAGCATTTATCTCCTGGGGGCTCTTGATCCTACTGAGCATTCAAAATTCTTAGTATTCCTGTACAATGACTATTTAGCAAATCGCAGAGATAAAATCCTGGTTTAGTCAAATGATAGCTTTCTCGGTTGCTATTATGCTATTATAAATGTCGCGTCACGAAAATGTTAGACCGGAGCTATTCTTATGTTGTTTTGGTCTACTAATAGCTATATGTGTACCAATCAACGGTTGAGGCTGTCGTTGTTCACGTAGCGTGGCAATGCAAAATTGATATGCAATGCAATCGCACAGTTACTCGTAACGCTCAATTTAAAATCAGCAATGATGATCCTATTCTATCCATTTTGTAATACAGTTTGGATCTGAGACACCTTCAGAGCTGCCCCAGGAAGTCTGCACTGATGCTGCTTTCTTTGGGAACATGGTGTTTAGTGACTACTGTTCTTATACATCGTGGAATACATGGTAAGTTTGGAGTAGGAATTCATGGACTAAGTGTGGTCTTCTTGGGATCACTCCCTTTTTTCGCCTTATTTGTTTTACGGTTAAGTCAACTAAAACTGAGGTGGTGTCCGTCATTGGCAATAGCTCAGTCACTTTCGATATGTTTGGTTATATACTACCTTTCAAGTAACGGCCTTTGGTGTGCGCAACATCCACACGTGACGCGCGCATTGTGCGCAAAACTTGTCCAGTTTAAGTCGTTCGCGGCGTCCTCAAACGTAATTTTTTGGTGGTTGACGCTGGGTGACCTCTTGGCTGTTCACCGAGGCCGTGTCAGGCCAATTCCATGGGAGCACGATGTTGATATTTGTATCACACCTGAACAATATCCACTATTTGAAAAAGCTCTCAGGTCAAATGCAAGTTATTTCCAACCAAAGGCCGAATGCCTGAAGTCAGGACATTGTTATCTACCTATCGATATGGCAAAGCTTGGGCTCACAACTAGGGAAGCAGAGGGCGTGAACGTGGATATCTGGACTTGTCCGCAACTTTCTGGAAGTATAAAGCGTGTTTTTTATTGCAATGACTATGAATGTACCTGGATTCCTTCCAGAAAGGCATGCTATATTGTCAAAACATTACGGAAACTACTCTGCCGTCAAATATGCACACCACGCTACCATGTGCAGAATCTGGAACGGTTGACTGATTGGACAAACCATGCACATACACCTTACGTCATTTGGCGTTCGTACAAGTCCGCAACACATATACAAAAAAAGCACTTCAAGTGTGCTGGAGCGGTAAAATATTATTGTTCGGGTGAGTGTAATCCTGAATAAAACCTGCTGTTGACGGTGAGTGACTTTTTAACAACCTTTGCGCGCGGTAGTGATCTTCAGAGTCAAAGTGAGTTCAATCACGTCAGTTGATGGTATTAAACTCTTGTTATGGATCTGATTGGTCAATTAAGTCGCGATTTGATATAATAGAGGATTACCGTGGCCCTGCAAACTAGTTGTAGTTACATAATGGCATGGTAAATTACACTTTCTTAACAGTTCAGAACCATAAATTATAATATACTATTGAATATTTGTTGCTTTTTTCCTTTTATCTACGGACGGGTTATTTTAGAGAAACATAATGTGTATCTTATAATACATTTACCAGTTGTTAAGCATTACAGCTTAAAATCTAAGTTTTCCGCTAAAATGGTGTCCAGAAAAGTGAATATCTTATTATTTATCAATTAATGAATGAGGCTGAGTAGGATATGAAGAATTAAGCGGATCGAGGAAGGTGTTATCCATCCGAGATATCCGCTTAGTTCTTTATATCCTACGAAAGCCGAATTCATTAATTGCTTTATTATTTATCAAAATATTTTCAAACACTTAAGGAGAACATAAGCTTTATTTTCACAAATTTCACACCCTCCAGCAATACACTGAGAGCTAAAGTTATTTTCACTCCGTAAATTTTGGTGAAATGCATAAATAAAATCTCTCCGTCAGAAATTTAACAGACATCGAGGTAAAAAAAAGATCAAACCTGTTTACGATAATTTAATGCGGTGTTTACAGAAATGTTACTGTGTAGAAATTAAACTGCTTTGTACTTTGGTTGCAGTGGTTGTGAGTTTGAACGTTCAGGTCTCGTAAAATGAATTCTTCTTGGGAATTTGTTAGCAGTCCAAGTTTCTCATTTCGATCATTTTCGCCTGCTTCAGAAGCCACGACATTGTTTTTGTTGCTGTCAATTACAGCCATAAGAAGGCTGCCCGCCATGTTTGTTTTTGTGTTTGCATCGGTTTTGCTGTAGGTTTTTATACTGCTTTCGTTTCTGTGTCCGCTTACCGACATGATGTGCCGCGCTTTCAAATCCACTTCTGTCGAGTTTAGTTATGGTCGTCGCTCTGATTGAATGATTTGTGTATATTGTTGAGAACTCCGCTTGGTGTGAGCTGACTTTCATCTTCTTGCCGAGAGTGTTCTCGCCGACAACCATGTTGCCATACCAAATTTCTCCTTCACCAGATGACTTTGGTCGCTTAAAAAGGTATTCATTCACTGGATTCAAGACACTTAAATATTTTTCAAAGGATGACACCGGGCAAAAAGGACCATCGTTTACTATCATCATTCCTCCTTCTTTAGCTTGAACGTCGTGTGATTTTTTGTTAGTTCATCGGTTATTTTCACAACACAGCGTTTTCCTTGCGAGTTGACTTTTATTTCGAAGTCAGTCTTTTTAAGCTGGCGAAGATTTTGCCGACCACGCCGACAGAAAAATAACATTATTTTAAAGAAAACCTTGTTTTGTAGAGTGGTAGGGTTTTTCAGTATTGAAGACACCGCATCGATACAATTTCTTTATGTCCTCGTCAGCAATTTGGTTTGTGTACAGTTTTCGCTAGCTTGCTTCTTCAGCTCTACGCACTGTGCTTCATAAATTCGGTTGGCTTCGTTAAATTCCGTATCTTTCATAATGTCTATACTTAGTTCCTGTTTGAAGTCTCTACACAAAGCAAATCTCATGGAACAAATGGAGTTCTTTGAGTACATCTGTCCATCTTTCTTTCTCGCCTCGGCGCAAAATTTTCGTAAAACTGCCGCTAACTCCACTGCAGTTGAAGGATTTCTGATGTTTTTCTCCTTGAGGTACGATTCAAAAATTAAGCGATGGTGTTTCGTCAACTTTTTGGTATTCTCACTGTCTTTATCATTAAGTAACTGGGTAATATTTTCTTCGCTCAAACTTGTAAACCTACTCGTAGCCATTTCTGATGTTTGTCTGCCAAAAATAACACAAGCTCGTACCCAGGTCTTCTCGGTTAACGGTGCCTTAACCTACGAAAACGCTGCATGTGTGACGTCATTTCCTCGTTAAACACAAAATTCTTCCAAATTTGGTCATCACTTACTGGTTATGGTGAATTAAACGTGTGCTTTTAGCCAATCAGAATCGGGGAATTTTTTTGAATGAATAATAAAGAAAAATAATGCTTCGTGAAATTAACGTGAATCTCAATAATTCACGTTAATTTTTGTAAACGTTAATATTCTCACCATTAATTTAGTGTAGCGTTAATTATCGCGACCTTTATTTTCATGATTTTGGCCCCAAATTCTCGATACACTTCTGACATTCATTGATTCATAAAAAGGAGGAGTATGTCAGGGTGAAGATCCGCCGGTATCAGTGAGACTGTGATGAACCCTCGAAGTGGACAGATTTATTCGCTGGATCCCCTTCGTGCGTTTAGGGAAAGAACCACTGAGAAAGTTTCCATTTTGGATTATACGTTTAACTTTGTTCCATTTGTCTCAGCAAGTTCAACCTCGTTCCCAGGTTCTCTCTCCTACCCTTCGATTTCTCTGGCTCCGTAGGAACGGGTAGGAGAGAAACCTGGGAACGAGGTTGCAACAAGTTTTGTTCCTTCGAGAACGTCGCGTTAATTTCCCTCATTTTGAAAAATCACACTCTCTTTCGCGTTAGTTTCCTTTACGAAGTCGTTTTCGCTAATTTAAGTCGCCTTAATTTGCAATACCTTAATTTAATTTATAATAAGGTTGCCTATTTACTTGACTTTAGGACTAATATATAGATTTAGCCAGGGCTAAAAGCGAGGCTCCCATTAATAAATTTATAATTTAAATCAAACAATAAACTTGTATTCCACAATTCAGTTAACTTTAAAGCACATTCGTGTTACTTTTCAGGGAAAGGCTAAGTGATTTTACAAAAAATAATTTGCAAACAGACCAAGAGTGAACCAAATCTCACATCGAGTTGATAGCCTCATAAGTACACCCAAAAACTGTCAATCATCTTCGATCACATTTATATTAAGAGCCATAATGGCTCTTGATCACCGTAGATTAATTAGGCCTGGAAAAAAAAATTCCGGCCGAATTTTTTGCGTTCGACAAGTTTACTTTACAAAATCTTGCCAACAAATCTGGGTGCGTGTAAACCAAGCTTTTATATCACTAACACATCACATCTGAGGTGAAACAGTACTATGAGGCACTGTTTTTATCATACAGACCTCGGACAACAGAATGCAGTATTTCACAATATTGCGATACAAATTGCTGTCATTCAATATTCAGGACGATCGAAGCACGCGTGGGCTTTAGCCGTAAACCGTTAAAAAAAATTTCAAAATCATCTATACGGGCAGCCGGTTCTGACTTTTGCAGTGCTAGCGGTGCTAGCATTGACACAGTTACGCTCCAACATAATAAATAATTTATTATGTATATTTTTTTTATTTTAAAAAGGTTTAACGCGCGGCATTTTGAGTACTCCGGGAAGCGTTGTTCACTGAACGACTGAAAACAATCGGCACAGCGATTAAAATTTCAAGAGACAGTACTAACCATCAATAAAAAAACCAAATTGAGTCTGCGATCATTTGAAAACCAGTACCTTGTCAGCGGATAACTTCAAAAAATACTCGACCTCGATGGGTCGACACCTGAGCCCGCGATACAGTCAAGTGATACTGGTCAGCGGATACCTTGTTTTGACAGCTGTCAATTGATCACAACGTTGATGTCCACTAGGTGTATCAGTTTTCCTGTGCTCCGATCCCAAACTAGCTAGAAAGTTTGAGACTGAACATTGATCGCGATCTAGTAAAATAATTAACTAGCCTGCCCCTACCCCTACCCTACCCTACCCCTTTCGACGCCTGCTACGCAGGCTATAATTAACTGGTCAGCGTACAGCTTCCAAATAAATCACGTCACCTCAATGAGTTGACACATGAGCCCGCGATACGGTTATGGGATACTAGTCAGTGGCTATCCTGTTTTGACAGCTGTCAATTGACCATATTGTGAATAACATTGTGAATGTCCAATGTAAGATGTGGACTTGGCAAGACACGCCTGAGACACCCCTCCCTTCCTTCTGATAGTCTCCCCTACCCCACCCGTACTATCCGTAGACGCGTACATACGTACGTACGTACGTACGCTCGGTCAATCACGTAACAACCAAACGAAAAGAGGTTGACCATAATCTATGAGTATGGGGCTCTGCCCCGCTATAAGTTCGTGACTTCTATCAGAGAAAGAAAAATCGAAGCGCGACACCTGACGTCACAGATCCTCATAGGACAGAACGCTTCACAGAATTATCACGACTTGAGTAACGGCGAACGGGTTTGGACAAGTCCCAGCTTTATATCTTTACACAGGGTTAATTAATAGCAGATGCACGCAATTATAAATTAAATTACATTTTGAAGTATGAAACAACGGAGGAAAATAAGATTTAGAGCAAAACTTTTGGTCGTAGTAGCACTTTCCGTGTGCCCGAAATAACGGGTATTGAATATGTCCACTCACTTACGGAAATAACGACTGAGTTTTCATGGTTAATTCAGTCAAATCAAGTACAATATAAGTACAATTTATTATAAGTTCTACGAGAGCAATTCACGAAGGTACTTATGAAGTCCTCGAGAGTATATGAGAAGAGGACTACAAAGGAATAATATTTTTACACTCAGTGCCATATGAAAAATGTCATGTGAAACATCGATCAGCAACGTTTGCCTTGCTCGAGCTCCCTTAGTTTTTTTATAATAGTTACTTTGGAGATAGTTTTTTGCCGGAAAAAAAAAAAAAAAGAAAACTGTTGGCGCAGGAGGTCCATTCGGCGATGACGTTTTCAAAAATCCGGCTAGACGCGTACTTGTTTATTTTTAAATTATAATTTTGTTCAGGTACCTTTTTTAATTGTTAAAGTCATACTTGGGCTCGTTTGTTGTCCGCTAAAGCCAGAACTGTTACATTAAGAACTCGCGTGGCTCATTGATAGCTTTGCCATCTTGCTTATGATAAGAAGGGGATTGTAAGCACAGACATAGCCATATCGACTACCAGACCAAGAGTAGAGCAGAATTTCTAAAATCTGACGAAAACAAGTGGGAACTGTAAGATCCTCTCTAAAGGTACCCTGTGGCGTTGGACGTTGCTCTCTACGCATGTTTCCCATCAACTCGTCCGTTTTTCAACGAAATGGTCGCTTGCATATCATGAATTTATTATTGTTGTTGTTGGTGTTGTTTTTGTTAGCGCTAACTTGAGCAACCACCTCAAAGACCACGGAAACAAGAAAATATATGGAAGAAATAGGCAACACAAAAGCTTTGGACGTGTATGACGCTTAAGGCAAATTTCTTTGCTGTCATCGCGCGATTAATTTTTTAGACTTAAATAAGTTGTTGCCGCTTTTCTTCCTTACCATCAGATGCATATAGCACTATTAATCGGCAAATGCTACCTGAGTTTAAAGCTGAAACTTTAAATTACTTACAGGTGCAGTGTCCTTGCCAATTTCAACATAAAATCATAGGAACTATGCCTTTTAACCAAATTTCATAAAGTTCTGTCTTTATTTGTTTCGGTTTCCTTGTCCATGGAGAATTGAAAGCACTCCCCTGCCAATCAACAGCTGCATTTTGAAACTGTTTGAGAAGTAGTTAAAATGTATTTAAATGACTTAAAAACCATTTTTACCTCAATTAGAAGTTTTTTTTGTATATATATTTAACGGATAAAACCGTCTCAGTCGTGACAGTCGTGACACTCTTTACACTCGTCCAAATGATTGCTGCCTTAACTCTTTATTTCGTAGATTTGTTTTATTCTTTGCGGTATAAATATATTTTTAGAAATGTAAATATAACAAAGCTAATGCAACCACTTGCTGCTGGTTGAAATTGCGTCGTCAGTCGGGGGCTGCCTTGCCACTGCTTTCTTGCTGTATATTTCCGAAAGACAGTGGATGTTCACAGGCTGGTGCTTCTACTCGACGGGGAATTTATTGTTTGTATAAGATTCTGTTAATTGCTTCTATAACTTCTCTAGTGCGCCAGATAAACACAAGTGGATGCAAAGATGTCGTGAGAAAAACAAACGTAACCATAAATGTGTACAAAATTTTTGCATGTTCTACTTTCTCTGTGCAGACATAAACTTTACAAAAGCTAACAACAGTTATTGGGACATAGCAAACCAAGATAAGGACAATGATAAAGAGAACTGTGCAGGCATACTTTTTAAACCGCGCAAAGTCAAATAAATTTCTCTGGCAACTGTCTGTAGAATTCCAGGGTCTGTGTTGGCTTATTTTGAGTTGATGCCTTCGAACGAGCAAGAGGATTTTGACGTACACGGCCACGATTATGCACAAAAAGGCAAATTTAACTGACTTGGTCATAAGAAGAAAGGTCTTGTCACTCAGCCAGAATCTAGTCATGCTCATTGATATCGAAACACAAAAGGCCACGAACACAGCTATGGTTATTCGTTTCTGCGTCACTACCTCCTTGTATCGCAGGTGAAGATGAAGTGATAGGTAACGATCAATTGTCATAAAAGTTAACAGTGCGAATGAAACATTTAGAGCAACCTGTGAAAAAAACTCGAACGTCAACCGAGCACCGCAGTATATTTTAAAGTTTTTCGTTATTTCAGCTGCCTTGAAACCGACAAATGCTGGTCCAGCGATAAATCCCAAGATAAAGTCACAAAAGGCAAACCATCCAAGTAATATGTATTCTGGCTTATGAAGTGAGGCTGTTTTCCAAATTGCAATGACGATCAGTAGGTTACCAATAGTGGAACACAAAGCAAAGAAAGAAGTTAATACACAGGAGATAACATTCGAAGCAAGAGTTCCACTAGTCATGAAGACTGGAGCTGTGAAATAAAAGCATGTGACCGACGAAAACTTTTCATCGTTCGAGAATGTAGGGGAGCCGTCCATGTTAATACACAGCAGGCATTAAAGTGACTACAGTGTAACAATTCGATTGCATGAGGAAGGCGGGGTACTCAAGCGAAGAAATATGCTATATTTATACAGATTGTATCGTTACGTATTGGCTTCCCCGAATTCTGATTTTATCAACCGGTACGTTTAATAGAAAATTGCATTTAGCTTACAATATGTTGTGTTTGTTATGTTTAACTTCTGACAGAATTTGAAAAGTTCACATTCAATATCGAGCAATAAATGAATGTTTTACAGGATGATTTAAGCGATTCAATCAATCAAACATCGTCACGGAGGGTTATTAAAATTTATCCTAACCAATAAGAAAATCTTATATTTTAAAACGATTTCCGTTGAACGTGAATTATAGCTATAAATGGAATTCTCTTAAAAGACTTAAGGCTTTATTTCAATTTATTCGCAAGAAAAATTTCAAACTCTGAATGGCTAGAACAAGATAATGCGACCGGGGAAAAAAAGGCGAAAAACAACAACAAACAAAAAATGGCACGGAAATGGTATTAACCCGTGGAAACGTTTAGTTTTAGATATTTGTGCTTTGACGCAATTAAGACATCAAACATTGTTGTATTGTAAGCAGGTTACAATATAGGGCTCTTTTAGTTGCTGCTGGGAAATAATTGCACTCCGATATTACGGCACATAACAAATCCATCTCAATACCGCGTAGCTACGTTAATGTGGTTAGAAGGTCTCCCGAGAAGAGTAAAAAAAGATATCAACTTTAGCTTTTTTGTGTGTGTTAAATTAAAGTAAATGAATGAAACTGTGCCACCATATTACCTCTTTTAATTTCCTTTAAGTTAAAGCTCCCTAGGTCAAACAACTTAATGTTTGCCACACTACCTGGTGATATAAAAAAAAAGTTAAAAGTGAATTATAACATAACGCCTGTGCTTGCCCTATATACAGGTCCTGTTGAGCCGCTATGAACAAAATCGTTTATGCACGCACGCTAGTGCGTTAATAAAGATTTTTTTTTCATGATGACGTGTTCAGCTGTGTTTTTCGTATATTTTCCCAAGTACTAAGTACACAAAAATCGACGGCAATGATGAAATACTTCATAGCATTTTCGGAATTGACCTTCTAGCCACTCAAACCAACAGCAAAAGCGATGAAGATGTTTCGCAAATAATAGAGGCTAAATCGTTGAAAAGTCTTTCGTAAAGACTAACATTCAGCTGGAAAAAGACCACAAATTTCGTCTTTGTCGGGAAATATCCAATTTGTATATAGTGTCCTTCGTTTTTAATGAACAATTATGTACTTTGTTATCGCCGAACAATCCGACTGAAGCAGGAAGATTTCTCTTGTAATAACAAGAAAAATCAGTTACACAACAAGACAAATTTATTAGTTTTAAATGTTACGTACTCAAGGACTCTGACTGGTACTTAAGTTTACGACAGTATAATATCACTTCAACCGCAAGTTCCTATTTGCCTTGAACGGTGTGAACTTTGTGAAGAGTTAGACTTGTAACATACCAATTTCCGTGTTATAAACTCCCCAGTCTCGACCTATCAATTCATCTACCAAAAATAGCTTGTATGTTGTCCTTTCCTTATAGTTAAGTTAAACTTTATTAAAGTTCTAGACACGATGCCATGATGTAAATTTCGTTGCAGTTATTATTTTTGTATTCATTTACACCCTAGTTATTTCATTATGTTCACATTTTTTTTTCTGCGCAGTGGATTATCTCGTCATAAAACTGAGTAATATAAATTTCTTAATTATTCTGAATTTAATTTGGTAATCTTTTCTTAGAACAATGTGATTTAGACGTTACAAAATTGATGGAGACCATATTTTTACTCTGTGCATAGCAGGATAGAGTTCACTATTTCAGAGAATGTTCATCTTAATTTGGCTTGATTGTGCAAACTTTGTCAAGGGTTAGAATCATATCAAGTCAATTTCCTTCTCAGCCTCGACTTATCAATTTCCCTGGCAGATAGCTGTTTTAAAAGCTCTGACTTTAATCTATCATCCGTCAGTCGTTTCTAGGGACTGCGATATAGACCTTGCAAAATTGATGAAGAGCATATCAATTCTGTGCCTATGATAGAGGGCACTATTTCAGAGAATGTTCAATCCTTGCGACAACTGGCTTCTAATAATGTAGTAATTATGATCGACCTAAGGAAGTGACTTACCATTTTTTTTACAACATTCTGCCGGGTGGGTCTTACCCGCTGGCAGCAGGTTAACCTTTCATTGATCCAATATCACCAAACAGACCGTCATAAATTTGCATCGTCATAATACTTTGTTTGTGTATTTCCTCGATCTCGCTAAACACTAATATATTTTCCAGGATAACTGCGTCAGTTAGAAAAAACTGCTATCAATGAAGGCCTTGTCTTCTGAGTTGTTAAAGGGGCTGTTTCACTGTTCTTTTTGTTAATATTGTCAATAAATAACGAGTCCTTTTCCCTAGGGAACTTAGTTACGTTAGCGAATTACTTGTGGATAGGTTTGTAAATAGTCAAGTTCACATTTCAAAGAAGACGATAATCTCACTTGAAGACGCAACTTCTGCAGTTGCCCCAAGAAAGCCTAAAAAAATCCAGGCTTGCCGGGATTCGAACCCTGGAAGCAGGCTGTAATCAGCTACAATCCCACCCCGGGCTTTTCGTTTCTTTCTGTGACCGCCCGCCGCTTCTCCATCTTCCTCATCTCAACTTCAAAAACGCCAATGATACGACCTCCAAAGTTAAACAGAAAAATGAAATCGTTATTTCCAACGTCTACCGTATATAGGCGACTAACTCGATTGACACAGTGATGACTGTTGAATAACATGGCTGTCAAAACTCGGTTGGCATGCTAACATACATGTCACAACAACATAAAAAGTTCCTAGATAAATTTTAGGGAAAGTCGCTTCGTTTGAAGGCCATGTAACCTTGTAGGGTTTTGAAGTTATTCAACTTTTAGTGGGGGGAGGAATGGCGTAAAAACTCCTCCCAATGTGAATAGGTTTGTGGGATCCAACACACTCCTCATTCGCTAAATATTGGATTGCCTTGTAATACATTTACCATAACACTGTGAAGAAATACTGAAGGTCCTAGTCAATTTCTTTGGTCCATATTGATGAAAACACCCGCATATAGCAGCTGTGAACTGAGCTGTGAATATATTTTTATTATTTGCTAATATATTCTCCCTCGCTTTGCTGCAGACAAAAGATGTGCACCTCCTCTTGTTTGATGCAGAAATTTTGACTCTCTCCTTTGAAGTTAGCTACGCTACAAGTTACAGGAAAATCATGTTATTTGTAAATTTTAATTTGTTAACCCATGAAGCACTTACAAGTTCTTAAAAAACGTGTCCGTGCGTTCCCGATCGAGTGTCTGCTTTTCAGAACAGAGAAAAACTGGAGTACCCGAAGAAAAATCTCCTGGAGTAAGGGATTTGAACCGGGCCACATTGAACCCTTGAAAAATAGATAATCAAATAAATAAATGAATAAATAAATAAATCTTGAAAAGATTTGAAGTTTGCCAACAATTTGTGATTGGAGGCAGCCACTTGATGATACACAATGGCAAGTTTTTCTGATGATTTCTATCGTCAGCCACAATTGTTACTACTCTACTCTCTACTGATTAAACGGATTCTGTCACGTTTGTGTTATTTGTTGAATATTTGGCTCTTCTGTACATTGAGAATAAATCTCCTCTCGTTCTTGCCAAGCGACGGTGTCCTGTGGGTCCATTTGCAGAATTCAAGAAGTTGTTAGCATGTAGCAAGTTTGGACTTAAAGCTAAAAAAGTGTTAGTCACGTTGGAAACTGAAGTCAACGTGACTCCTGTAGCATTCCTTACCCGCGTGCGACGCCTTTTAGAACTTAAGGAACCGGTTCTGAGGAAGCTAAAAATTGCTTTACGGAAATCTTGCATTCGAAATGAATATACTAGCGTATTCACAAAGGAATTGCTGTATTGAAGTAGTTTAATGACGTATACTATTCTAATCGAAGGATGCGCACAGTCTTTACAGAAGTGAACAATTATAATTATGGATTCAAAGGGCATCCAAGTTATAATGAAAATTGTAGTAACAACAAGCAAAGTTTTTGATAATTTCTTATCCCTTTCAACATCTCTGCGACGCCTCCGTCGATGTCTTATTCGTATCAACAAAGCGCTGTAAGCGAAACAGGCGATTGCTATGGAAACTGATAAAGAAATTACTGTAACCATGTTGACGACACCAGATATCAAATTAAAGCGGTATCCCAAGTAAAGGCAAGATATTGCCACAGCTAAAAACCAGGTGGTAGTTACAGCGAAAATGTACCATTTTATTGGCGTAGAGTGCCGGTACTTCCAGGGCCAACCGACTGCATAAAGCCTTTCTACAGAAACAACTGCTAGGGTAAAGACCGAGGCCATGCCAGATGCAATGTCGATAGTGTAGTAGACGGTCTGGATCACTTGGCTTCCGTTCCAGAGGCTAAATTCTACAAAATGGCAGATGTAAAGAGGGACTGCAAAGGTGCCAACCATCAAATCTGCCACGGAAAGAGAAATGAGAAAGTAGTGCGTTGGTTTTCGGATAAGCCTTGTCTTTGTAAATGCAGCGATGGTCAAGATATTTCCAATAACAATTGTTAAGGCGACCAGGCCAAATGCTGTGCTCAAGGCAAAAGACTCAGTTGTGGTTAATGGAGAATTCGGCGAACTTGGCATTTCAGATATGACTGCAAAATAATAAATAATTTTAGAATACTTTTCTCTTGTTTCTTTGGATGACTTATTGATCCGAACTTTACGGTTAATTGCAGGAAATCATATGCTAATATGAATGCTTAGCCATACTCTTGAAAATCACAATCTGCACGTAAACACTATGCAAATGCTTTCAATGGCCAGTCACCCTTTATATTTGTAAGAGTAAAGGCCATTTTAACTTCTTTGCTACTTTTAATGAAATTCTATCCGTGTAAATATAAAATTGTAAAGCTAAGTATATTTAAGACCACTATAACCAATCAAACAACTTCTTCCATAATTTTGCTTAATATATTGTCATGGGCGCTGTCTTTCCAAAGCAGCTGTAGCCAGCTGTAATTAATTTACATTCTGCCTCAGTTGTGCAGCCTTTTAAGGAGTAACATACTGATAAAGAAGACTTCCGACTGAACACTTTAGAACGCACTTGCATGATATTGTCTATCTTTATTTGTGGTAAAACGCAATATAGCTGACTGACATTTTGACAAGACTATGAGATATTCTTGGGGCCTTTCTATGGCTTAGTCTTTCCTATTTTAACTCCACAAAGTAGGTTTTCTACTCCGGACTTTATCATGCATGAGAATGACTTTCATGAAACATATTAAACGAATTCAAGGAAACCTGTCACTGAAGGGTTAGAATACTGGCCCTTAACAGAGCTGAATGTATACTATAGATACAAACAATAAGGGCAATTACAAATCTGAACATAACCTCCTAGAAAAATCGTTTTACAGACGAAAGAAGACAGGAGAAGAAATGATACCTGATAAAAATGCGGGTTGTCGTTAATATTTACTTCAGCTGCCAGGATATCGGGATCGCCTTCCGATCATTCAGACGTCTCAGATCTTGCAAAAAGGAAAAAAAAAAGGAATACCAAAAGGAAAGTGTTCATTGTTACGTATAAGCATATCTCTATTTGTTACACAAAAAGTACCTCGGTGTTAAAAACAGGTATGTATTAAACAATGAAAAAACGAGAAAGAAGTCGGTGACAATGTTTTTTAGAGTGCGGTTGAAGTACAGCATGAACTACTCTCACTAGAATTCTATGTGCTTATTCTGAGATAGAATCCCGGAACAGAAAGATTGTCTTGAACATGATTAAGGTAAAACCTTAGTTTTCAACACCGTCATTTTATGACGTTTGCCTTAAAGTTCCGGTGTTTGCCACAATTAGTCTGAAGGAAAAAAGCAAAATTAAGCTAAGACTTACATATATTTCATCTGTGTCAAGTAGACGGTACCAATTTTATAAATTTTTGCTACTGCTTTTTTTATCATATCTATGTCTTGGGATTTGGCTTTCTAAAAAGGTATCTGCGGCGAGCACTGGGAGGAATTACAGTGTTATACGTTTCTGACTAATCAAAATTCAAATTATATAGTTGTTTTGATGGCAGCAGGACAGTTGACACCGGGTTTTGCAGTACGTCCTAATATTTAATGAACAAACACTTCATAACTACGTGTCATAAAATTGAAATTAATTTTCATTTATCTTACCACAGAATGGAAAATGAAAGATAATGTGCTTGCAGCTGGCAAGAAATCGCGCTTTCTTCAATTATCATCTTTCCAATGGTTTTCTTTTTTCCTTCTTTCTTCTTCCTCTTCTTCCTTTTTTGTTTTTCTTTTTAATCTAACGCGTTTCTTATTTTAAAGAGAACGTGTAAAACAAAGAGGTATTTGATTTGCACATTTTGGACGTTTTATCACAAATATGTCATAAAAGACGTAGGAGGGAGAATAACCTAAAGATTCTAGCAAGAACTTCAATAAATTTCGCAACAGACATTTAATTAAAACCTGAATAAAAATTTTGTCTTTCTCAAGAAAACAATTAAAATTTCACAAGAATGTTAAAAGAGCGTCTCCTATAGTTTACTTGAAAAATTGTAAAGACTAGTTTTATTGCCCTAAAAAGTTTGTTATGCTCTTTATAAATAAGACAAGAGATATATAAAGATATATAATTTAAGTAGACACCAACTTAGTCTTTTAGCGTATTAGCATAACGAATTCTGTAATCTAATTGGCTAATGCACCCCCTATCTATTGCGTGATATTTAAAGTGAGTAGCAATGAGTAGCAAACCTGCGTTTCGAACACAAACAAAACACTAACAACGTTTTAATGAATCGTTATTGCGATTTGTCTTGGGTAGAAGTGTTAATCAAATACCTGCAATGATGCCAAACCAGCAAAAACTGAAGTGGTGAAAAAATAATAATAAATAATATTAAGAACGCACAATTTAAAATATTTATTTTGAAAATCAAACACGCTTTCGTGAAGTCACCCTGTGTAAACGTATCAATCTTATGTATTTTTATCAGAAATTTGTGGTATAAAATCGAAAGATTAAAGCTTGAATAAAAGTAATCATGCTACTCGTTTCCGTTTTATCAGAGATTTATCTTTCTCTGGCCATGGCATGTTTTCTTAGGAGAACTGAGAACCTTATAAAATTAAAAAAATAGATTAAATGGTGAATAAACAATAAATAATGGTATACACTAATAACTTAATAAATAATAAAATTGATAAATTATACCAAGGCTGCCAGCGTGTTGGTTTCGATTTTCAGTCACCTTTTTAGCAGAAAAGATTTAACCGATTTATGTGATTTTTGGCCCAGGCCTCAAGAATAGTGGAACTTTAAGACTAAAACATATTATCGACTTCTAGATATTGGCATAATAATGGATGGGTCTTATTTCACACAAGATAAAGATACATATCGCAAGTTACAACTGTTTATGAATACCGTAAAACATAATTAACTAAATAAACTAATCATAGAATCCTAACTATCCTGTACTAAGGTTGTGTTTATTAAATATTGGACTATTTACAAAGGCAGACATGAAACGCTCAGTATTAATTTTAGGACGGGCACATTGTTTTTTCGGAGATTTTAAGAAAAGACTTTATTTGAAGGAATATATGGAGCTAGCGGGTGACAATTTATAGAAGTTACTTTCTTAAAAATTGTACAGTCTTGCTTCTATAATAGATACTTAATTGAAACAGGGTAAGAAGTAAAACGGCGTTTACGACATCTATCTAAAAAGGTCTGTATAATATTAAGATCAGGTTCAGAAGCTCCATATACGGGTAAATCATAAATAAAATTAGGCAAAACTAAGGAAGTGAACAAGTGATCTATTTTAGCTTGTGAATATTGCTTTTTTCTGAGGGTCCTTAGAACATGGGGACATTTGTTTGCTTTAATTAATCTGAGTTTAACATGTGCCGGAAACTTACAATCACTCTGGATCGTAACCCCCAGGAGAACAAGACTACTGCGATGAGAAATGTCAAATACGGGGTTATATCGAGAATTGTTGCCTTTACTTCTGAAGATAAGTTCTTTACATTTTTTCGGCCCGGATTCTAAGACATGTTCTTCTCTCTGAATTTTGCCACAAGGTTAGCAGACGGATCACATTGATTACTAAAAGGAGACACTATTATGGAGTCATCAGCATAAATACAGCAGGAGCATTGTTATAAGAAATTTCTAAGTCATTCAAAAATATATTAAATAGATAAGGCCCGCTTACGCTTCCTTGGGTGGTTCCTTTGTTAACGACCTTCCAGTTACAGAGGGTCCACAATAGGGGTTCTCAAATCCCGCTTTCCCGCCTTTTTTTCTTCTCAATCCCGCCATCCCGCCCTATTTTATGCCCGAATCCCGATCCCGTCCCATTTTTTCACGAGATTTTTTGCTTAATATCGGTACATGTTAACTTTCTATTTTTAATTAAAAGTCCTGTATTTTTGGAGTTAGGTAGATTGATGTCTCACGATGACTCAACTGCTTTGCTGCTAGTTTCCGGTGATGAAGCCAATTCTTCCATAAGCCTACTATTGAATCAAATAGCACGACCACATGCAAGCACCCTTCCAAGCAGGAAGTTTGCTTCTCCATCCAAAGTGGCAATAATCAACTTTCGCAAGTTAGCGAGACCATTTTAGTCGCCGACCGTAGCGCGGGGCACAAAGTCCATTGATATTCCAGGTTATAATACATCCGTACAGGGATAATGAGGTCGTTGAAAACCATTAATAATGGCCATGGATAGCGGTTGGACTGCGAGCAGTCTCCTATTTTTCTTTGCAAATTTATTGCACGAGAAACCCAAGGACGCGAGCCTCGATAAACGCCCGGGGGGATACTGCCATATATGGGCTATATAGGTATGTGCCGCTATGAAGGGTATGGTTTTCAAGCAGTTTACTCTAGGATAGGGTATATAAATCAGTACATTTGGGTCTAGAATAGGGTATCATTTTTCGGGGAACTGATCAGTTGGTTGAAGATTTTATCTAGACTAGGGAAACAGCTACTCTAGGATAGGGGGGATTTGTGAAGTTTACTCTAGTATATGGTAGCAAAATTTAGCTGAACTATCTCTGATGTAGGTTAAGGGTTCCAGGCTCCCAGCGGAACATCCCCACCCAGAAATTCCTAAAGTACCCCCTGGGATAAACGTCTCGTCCTAATCCCTTATTGTAACATAACGTCGTGGTTTGCAATCGCGCTGGCTGCGATAGGAACTAGACGGATTTTAAGAGAAAAAGCGGACTGCAAGCAGTCTAGATAGCAGTAAACTCAGATCGACTCACCAGACTGTTTCTTTTAAGACTTTCAAGGTCTTCACTTGCCTTGAAACAGCAGCTCTAAATTTTTCTTTCCGAAGAAATGCATTCCCACTGGCGCCTTTTTCGTAACACAGAGCCACACAATTTATGATGTCTACCACATCGTCGTCATTGTGCACTTCCATCAGTTCTGTGTGGCATATCGTGATTAGACTTACTTCAGGGGCACCCAACGAGAATATAGTTCAAAACCACTTAAACATAGCATTACGTATTAAACGTATTTTAGTATTTAAACGGTAGATATAGGCTTATTTTTATCCCCTGAAAATTTTTCATCTGTTCGAATTTCCTAGCTGAAAGTCTAGTGATCC